ATATGTGTTATAAAAAAATTTGTTTTTAAGTTCGGACTCGGTAATATCTCCTTCTCAGACTGAAACGAATCAATTTTATTCCTTAAACATTTCCTAAACAATATAAATCAAAAACACTCGAACTCGAGCCATTAAAATTCGAGAAATTCGTTTGGATTTTGTTCAAAGTTTATTATTAGAACAATATTTTAAGGTTTTGATTCTCCCAAAGGATCTATCAGAAAAGCGCGAAGATTAAGGATGAGTAAAAAACCCGCGTTAATCACACACTTCAAGCCTCACGTTCTGCCACGTGGAATTTAGTGGGCTCCAGTTTTCTAAGATGAGTATTATTGGAATTGGGCTAAAAGTTTTAAATTTTGATTTTCCAATATGGGCTTATTTGGTGAATTTGGAAAATATAGGCCTTGTTTGTCTAATGGGCCGCATGATATACATTATTTATTATCAGTACACGTTTTGAATATGGTTCATAATCATAACTAACCAACTAACTGTAACGTTAGATACACACATCCCTGTCATTATGAGTTGTAAATCAAAGAGTTGACCAAACATCCAAGATTTTTTTAATGTGTGAGATTCATTTCGTGTCAATCATGTAGTAATAATTATGTTATTACGTGGGTGAGTTGTGATGATTTTTTAATGAAACTAGGTTATGTGATGAATTTATAAAACCAGATTGTGTAAACTTTTGTAGTTAAGTCTTTACAAAAAAAAAAAAATTTGTTAATCTTATTACCACAGTATATATTAAAAGTCTCATGAAAACCTTATGTAAGCTTTAAGTGATTCGTATTACAATTTTCATTATTTAAAATGGTATGGATCTAACTCATAATTCATAGAACACAGATTTTTATTTTATTTTATTTTTTAAATACTTTTGCAAATGGGGAGCTGGTTAACTTTGGCACCTCCCTATATAGCTAATACCAAAATCGTTAAGTAACAAATATTTAACGCCTCGTGCTTCCCTCGTGGGTATTGTTTATGTTATATATATAAGATAAGATTATTTGAGAGGATATAAAAAGGCAGCAAAGGCGCAAGTGCGTTTATTTAACAAAAAGAAGAAAATGAAAAGAAGAGTCATAAATCTGAATTCTCATTCATCTAAACATCTTTGGTAGTTCTCTAACGAAATAAAGAACATTAGCATCGATTTTCATTATGGAAAAGTTGGACCGACCAATTAGTGGAGGAGGCTGGTTTGGGGAAGGTGATATTGTAGATGCAGAATTATTGGTGGATCTTCTTGAGACTTATAGATTTGGTAAGGCTAATGTTCCCGCCGGAAAAATTCGATCCATGGTGGCGGCAGCGACGGCTCCAGCGCCGGACAACACCAAAGAGATGGAGAATGATGAGGACGATAATGGATCTCAAGGTAGGAGATAGGTACATATTATTAGTCAACTTGTCATTTTCGACTTTTCGTACATGCTTTTTTTTTATTTACGATTTCGGTACCTTTAGATCTCTTTTTATTCCAATTGCGTCTACTAGTTTTAAGATGTTTCAAATTACCCCCATTTCTTTAACCGGATACAATCCGGCAGTATAACCGGTAGACCAATCTCTCGTTTATTTTGGTCATGATTGGTATCGTAGGAAACAAGTCTGTTCGTGAAAGCACATCTTCTGATTCAGATCCAATATCACTCGAGTCTAGTTTGAGCGAAACGGGTTCAAACCATGAAACCGGTTCAAACAATGAAAGTAGTTCAAATAATGAAACCGGGTTTAACGATGGCGAGATTACTATAAGCGAAACCGGTTCGTCAGAGTCGAGCTCTACAAACTTACCAAATGTAGAGAACGA